TAAATAAATGTATTGGAACACCCTCCCTGTTCACTTGATTTGGCCCCCAGTGACTTTTTTCTTTACCTAAACATAAAGGAAATATTGAAAGGAAGACATTTTGATGATATTCAGGACACATGAAGGGTAATATGATGACAGCTTTGATGGCCGTTCCAGAAAAGGAGTTCCAAAATTGCTTGGATGGTTGACTAGGCGCTGGCATCAGTGCACAGCTTCCCAAGAGGAGCACTTTGAAGGTGACCATAGTGATATTCAGCAACGAGGTGTGTAGCCCTTTCTCTAGGATGAGTTCACAAACCTAATTGTCAGACTTCATATAACTGGAAAAGTATGGGGGCAAGAAATATTTCTTGGGGGACTGGATTTCAAAATTCTAAAATATTTGTATATGAAATTAATAGAATGCTATCCAATACTATTAAATCGAATCAAACACTAATAATACTTTTTTTCTGAGACAGTCTCACTCTGTTACCCTGGTAGAGTGCCGTGGTGTCGTCATAGTTCACAGCAACCACAAACACTTGGGCTTGAGCAATCCTCTTGCCTCAGCCTCCTGCGTAGCTGGGACTACACGCGTGTGCCACAACACTCTGCTAGTTTTTCTATTTTTATTAGAGATGGAGTCTTGCTCTTACTCAGGCTGGTCTCAGAACTCCTGAGCTCAAGCAATTCACCTGCCTTAGCCTCCCAGAGTGCCAGTATTACAGGAGTGAGCCACTGTGCCTGGCCAAGTAATACTATTTTGTGTTGTAACAGATCATAGAAAAGGACTTTGTCTCAATTTTGACGTAGGTCGCTAAAGGTTGAGAAGCAAAGCAGTAGGCATCAGATGATAATCCCAGAGGAGCTCCCATCTAGACCATCCGTGCAGAACTCACGGAGGCAATACATGAAGACGGTTTTGGAATCCTGATGTCATCACCCAACATAGGTTATAAAGAAGGCTGAAATTAAATTTGGATGAAATGAGAGTGCTGTGGTATTTCCACGTGGACAACTTGACTTCAGTTCCTGGAGTTGGTGGACAGAGATCAGACCTGTGCTCGGGAAAGCCTAGGGCCGAAGAGTAGCTGACTGATGCCAGAGGGTGACGTGACTGTGACAAAGATGTGGGGCCACTGTGGGAGAGAATGCTGGCTGGCCTGGAGCTGAATGAAAGTGAGTGGATTCATAAGCATCTTTGCAAGGACAAGGGGATCCCTGCAGAGTCTGTGTGAGGTGGGGTGCCAAAAACTGGGGACTCACAGGAGGACTTGTAAGCAACTGGCTGAAGAAAGCATTGCCCATATTATGGGAACTGGAGGTGAGAGAGCTTACGAGTGGGAATTCTGCAAAAATACGAGAAAATGGTCACCTTTAGGTGTCTGCCAAGTCCAGCTAAAAGCTAATTAGCATAGTATCACAACAGGATGCACGGCTCTCCCTTTCCCTTCCCTTTCCTCTGTTCCTACCTCTGAACCTGGATGAGTCAGAAAGCAAAGCAAACAAGCACATTGGGCAGGAGGAGAAGCAAAGACGGGGAAAGAGGGGATCAGACATACTCTGTGCCCCTGTGGGTTTCAGGGCTGGAAGCAGACTCCAGCCAAGGAAGGGAGGCAAGACTTCTTTAGTTGCTTGTTAGTGTTACATCTGGAAGAATTTTCACAATAGTACACCAGCATCCCAGTTAGGAAACAGTGTTACCAGAAACCCAGAAGTACCCTATGCTCCCTTCTAATCCCTCACTGCGCCAGCTTCCCCAGGTAATAACATCCAAGACAAGATTTGTGTGTGTGTGTTTGATTATAAAAGCAACTTTTATTTTTTGTTTCCAGTTTACTTTTAAAGAAATTCTTAGTTGAAGTAATATTAAAACTACAGAAAAGCTGCTGCCGCACAGTACAAAGAACCATCCTTCTCCCCTTTTCCTGGATTCCTCACTTGTTAATATTTTACACGTAATGGCAAGATGCACATTAACAGTAAGATGGTCCCCATGTATCGCTGCTTCTAGGAAGGGAAGGTGAATGAGTTCAGCAAAGGGTATAAGGAGACTTTCTAATGTTTTACTATTTTGTGTGATGGCAAAATGTTAACTTTTCTTTCATTGTAAGTAGTGGGTTATTCTGAGTACCTTTCTATGTATTTGACATTTAAAAAAATTCTTTGGACGAGAGAGAGTGTGCATTTTATCCTCTAGGAGATAGGGAAATTTTGAGGCGTGCTTTCAGTTGCTGAAATAAACGTGTCTTTATGACTCCTCTGCTCTCTGTTCTTGCCTGTGAATTAAGATCCTCCTAAGTGAGCCGTAGGGTTGATTCACCTCGCAGCATTTTTGTCTCCTCCTCGTTGCCTCCCACTCCTAAGTGCCCAGCGGTCTCTGACGTGGTAAGATTAAGACTTGCGCTCTTCCTAATAGATGCGCCTCTTCCTGACTTGCTTTTAAGCAATTACCCATCGTTTAGGGCCATTGGTTCGGGTCATCATCAATAATTCATATGCCAATAGGAGCCCCATTAGCTCAGGTGAAGGCAGATGTCTTTCTAATGAAAATATTCCATTTTCAAAATGACTTTTCTTTTTCCCAGAGAGTTGTGGTTGTAGAAGACATAAAAAGATGGAAAACTGTGCTGGAACTTCCCGTTCAAACCAAAGAGAATCTAGTTGAAGCCTTACAAGAATTAAAGAAGAAAATACCCTCCAGGGAAGTGCTAAAATCCACAAGGATAGGTATGTTCCCTCTTAATTTTGTGAAAAGTGCTTGCGTTTGGTCTCCTTTTCTGTCTTTCCTCTCTCTCGCAAACGTGAAGTCGTCTGTCATTCCTTTCAAACTATCTCTGACAAAGAACCATTAAAAGGATGTTTTCCCCTTGGTTGCAGGTCAATACTTTTATAATATGTCGTAAAAATTATCAGAAAAAGATATTAAAATCCATGAAATGGAAACCCCAGTTTTTAAATTTGATTCAACAGATACAGATGTACTCTTGTCAAATTGCTATAAAAGTTTCTAAATACTTACATGCAATTTCTATACCTCACCTCATGGATGGTAACTGTAGTGAACTACAGATAACATTTTGGATGTGCAAATAAAAACACGTAAATCATGTTCTGGGTTCCATTCTGATCTGTGTACAAGGTATATGCTGGCACAAAGGACAGAGACGTCATTTACATCTGTGGACTTCAGAAAAGGCTTCGTGGAGGAGAGACATTTCAGTTGAAAGAGACTTGGCTTTTCTATCTTAAGTCGAAATAGCCTGCCAAGTGTGGTTTATAAAACAAAATGATGGCAACATTGCTGCGTTATCATGTATTACAGCACGAGATATTTTAAAGGTAAGGCAGGAAGCGTGTTGACCTGCCGTTTCACCCCAGTATACTACTGTGAATAACATGCAAGGGAGGGCCAGCATGTGTTCCGCAAGCTGCTCCCGCCTCCCCAGGGAGTCCGGGGCAGTCACTGGCAGCTGCTGCTCTTGCCCTCACTAGTGCTGCCATTGCCTTGTCTGCCTCCCCTTGACCTCTTGTTCATGAGAAGCAGGAGAGAGAGCAGCTTCAGACTGGCACTAACAGCTGGGAAGAGCGGTATGAAATCCCCAGAGGGTCCCCCAAGAGTCTGAGCGTTGCACCCCTGTAATATAAACCAGAATCTGAGAAAATTAGACACTTAAAGAACATAAAACCCTATCATTGTAGCCAAGGAGATTCTCCCATCTGCTGCTGGATTTTCTGTCTTTATAGGTTGTGGTCACTAGAGGGCAATAAGCCCATTCACATGAGCAGATAAAGTATTTCCACCGATAGAGGGTACTAGTGATTAATATTTTATGACATGGTATATACGTGTATGTATAAGTTCATATTTAGGCACATTCCACACATACCATATATGATCTGATCTTATATATTGTCATAAAATAGTCCTACAAATGCACAACAGATGACAATCTTAAAAAGTCATTTCTATTTGTGCTTTGAGTACAGTTTTGAGTGTGCTTTCAAGGATGAGTGTGTCTAATGGTCAGAGATTTCAATATGAAGATTATAGGGAAACCACAGCGACAGGGCTTGACTAAGGAGGAACTGAAAACCATTTAACTTTTGAGTCTTGGCTGCACCCCAAACCTCCCCTAAATCTGAGGCTACTATAGAATATAGCAGTTTCTTGGTTTCTTAGTTAAGTCAGTTGCTACATTGAAGATTTCTTTTGGATCATTGCTGGAGGGTGTTTACATTCTTCAACCTTTAGCCCTCCTGCCTGACCCTATCCTGTGGGTTATAAAGGACAAATGTTTGCTGAGTACCTTCTTTGTGCTGGAAGCTGTGCAGGCATAATGAAGGACACAGGTATTGTCCTGCCTGAAGTCTAATGGAAAGACAGTCAGTTTAACAAGACTGTACCATACAACGTGATGAGTGCTCTGAGGATGGGCAGCAGTTAGCCAAGTGAGTATTTGTGTTGGGAGCAGGGGAGAAGGTGTTGGAGCATATGTCAGGCAGGGGTCCATCATGGGAGCTGCACAGAGGGCAGAGGTGGGAGAGAACAGGGCACATTCCAGAAATTAGAAGAAGTTTGGTGTGTTTGAAACGTAATATGCCGGGGAGAGTGTGGCAAGAAGTGAGGCTGAAGAGACAGTCTGGACCAGATGGAGAAGGCTCTTTGTAAGCCACTCGGAACTCTTTTATCTTGGCTTGCGTATTAGTTATCTATCACTGTGTGGAAATTACTATGAAATCTAGCTGTTTAAGACAATGTTTAGGATGTCACAGTTTTTCTGAGTCAGGAGTCCAGAAGCAGCATCTATGTGTGGTTCTGGCTCGTGGTCTCTTATGAGGCTGCAGTCCAGCTGCTGGCTGCAGTTGCAGGCATCCCAAGGCTTGACCAGGGCCTGCTTCTAACCTCGCTCACTCACAGGATTGCTGGCAGGGGACCTCAGGCCCTCCTCCTCTGGGTCTCTTCTTAGGGCTGCTCATGACACGGCAGCTGGCTTTTTCCAGAACAAGTGGCCCAGGAAAGAATAAGAGTAAAAGAACGACCATCATGGAAACCACAGTGTCTTTTCTGTCCAAGTCTTGGAACGACACACATCAGTTCTGTCATGTTCTGTTGGCCACACAGACCAGCCTTGGTGCAATCAGGAAGGCAACTATACAAGGTTGTGAATGCCAGGAGGTGAGAATCGTGGGGGGTTATCTTGTAGACTGGCCACCACAGCGTGTATTTCTCTTTCCTTGTCCTAGATAGATACTATATTCCCGGGCCTGCAGACTCATGTTCATTTGTTGAAGATTTACAGCTGTCTCTTCAGAGGTGCCTCTCTCTCATTCTCTCCACTCCCTCCTGAGATTCTATAAATAGAAGTATGTTAGGGGACATGGGGGCTGGTGTCTGTGATTGCAGCCCTTTGAGAGGCCAGACAGGAGGATTGCTCAAGGCCGGGAGTTTGAGACCAGCCTGGGCAACACAGTGAGACTCCATCTCTGCAAAGGTAGAAGAAGTAGCCAGGCGTGGTGGTACATGCCTGTTGTCCCAGCTACTCGGGAGGCGGAGGCAGAAGGATTATCTAAGCCCAGCTGTTTGAGGTTGCTGTGAGCTATGATGCCACATCACTCTATCAAGGGCAACAAAGCAAAACTGTTTTGCTCCCCCAAGAAGTGCATTATATATGGGAAAATGTGGTATATTTTCCAAGTCACTAATTCTCTCTTCCTTTGACTCTAACCTTCTATTTAACCCACACTGAGTTATTTCAGAAACTCTGTATTTCATTTTTACACATTTTCCTTATCCCCACGATGTCTCTTAGCAATGTCATTTTTACATTCTGGTTATCGTTTCTTTTATTTCTTTAAACATTTACTATATAGCACTTCAGTATTTATCCCACTATGCTAATACTCATGGTAGTTACTGTTTCTGCCGACTCCCATGGTGCGAGTCTCCCCACGTGCTTCTCATCATTTCAGTCTGCAGGAATCTGTGCTGCTAAACTGGACGTGTGTCTCTCTACAGGATATTAGTCAGGGGTCACCTCTGACCTGGAATACTTTAGCACACCTCTCAAGGCTCCCAGCTGTGAACGAGAGTTTTGGGATTAGCTCTCCTACCTCACTACTGGCCTAAAGCTAAGTGTGTCAGCAGTACTGCTACTGGTACCAGCACTTAGGATAACTGCATCCCTTCCTCGAGCCTACCCTTCTGGCCTCTGCTAACTTTTTTTTTTTTTTTTTGAGATAGAGTCTCACTATGTCACCCTCGGTAGAATGCAGTGGTGTCACAGCTCACAGCAACCTCAAACTCTTAGGCTTAAGCAATTCTCTTGCCTCAGCCTCCCAAGTAGCTGGGACTACAGGTGCCCACCACAACACCAGGCCATTTTTTTTGTTGTAGTTGTCATTGTTGTTTGGCAGGCCTGGGCTGGGTTTGAACCCGCCAGCCCCGGTGTATGTGGCCGGTGCTCTAACCACTGAGCTATGGGCGCCGAGCCTGCTGACTTTTTTGTTATGGGAATGAGATGGCTTTTATCCAGGATCTAGTTGCTCTATAGAGAAAGGATTGCTCTGTCCACCATAAAGCCTCAGAGTTTGCTCTTTATCTTAAAGATGATGGGGTTATTACTGAAGAGTTTTGAATTGAGAAGTGACATATACAGTTCTTCATTTTAGAAAAATGTATTTGGGGGTGG